CAGTGAACTCTACAATCTAGGTGCCAGCTGGCTACTAATAAAAAAAAAAAGGCACCAATGCAAATTTTCAGTTGCCAGGCAAATTTTTCTTATTTGCCAAGTTTAAAAGCTGATATTTGTCAATTTAGGGACCCACAGGAGTAGTAGCAGTGGGGAAGGGGGTGTCTAGTGCTCCTTCAACTTTTGACTTTGAAAGACAACAGAGTCTTTGTACCCCATCTCCACCCCGGTTAGAAGAGTTATGTAGGAGATCCTGTAACTAGGAAATGTTAAAAGTAGAATTGTAGAAAGACTATTTTGACTGGGGTTTATTTTTTGCTACTTATGTGGTCATAGTTTTTCTGCAGAAATTTGTTACAGCATATTTAAAATGCATTAATTAAGAACACAAAATGACCATCAAAGAAATCCATGCTATTTCTACCTGTAGATTGAACAGATTTTGTGATTCTAACAGTGGAATAAGGAAGTACATTTACAGTATTTTTACTTTTTCAAAATACCACAACTACTGTACTGCACCATTGAACATCATTATAACAATGCACATGTATCAATTTTGCAGCACAACCCTACCAGAAAAAAAAAACAATAGAAACTTATGTTTTAAAAACCACTTATAAGCAAGTCACCTATAAGTTTTGAAATTTACATATAAGTGTACTACATGTATAAGTCAAAGTAAGTTTAAGTAAGGAACAGATTTTGTTAATACTTCACTTATAAGTGAAGATTAGCCACATATCAGTGATATTTCAAATGTACTTTACTTGTAAGAGAAGATCAGTAAGGTATTAGCCAGAATAAGTGTGGACTTAGAATTTTTACATTATAGTACACTTCTTTTGAGTTGCATTGTGGGTATTCAAAGATAACCAATCAGAAACCTTGTCTCTGCAGAGCTAAACAACAAGAATTTGAAACTAAGTTAGTGTCTGTGAAAGGATGTTGTTGGAGATTTCAAGTTTATTTTGAGTATGTCTTCACATCAGGTACAACAAGGAGGATCTATCTACATCATCTTTTTATTTTAACTTCCTTTGCCTGAAATTTTGAATCAATTGACTCAGTATTTAAATGCTTTCATATTTCATAAATCTGAAGAAGCCTCATGCAAGGTCATTAAATCTTGAAGACTTTTTGTCCAACATTTTTGTTTGTGAACTGAAATAATATATATAAAGTTTGCATAATCAAAGAATGTCATATGTCAGAGAGGGAATTTTTTTCATAAAATGTTAACTTGATTATTTCATCTAAAGTGCAGATACATATGCATATGTAAAAAAAAAACTTTGAACATCATGCAACCTCTGCATGATTGGAAGTTTTGTTCTAAATTAAGACCTTAAAGGCAGTGCTGTACTTCACTTATAAGTGACTTAAAATGACTCATACTGGACTCATACTTGATAAAGTATGAAGGGCTAATGCTTGACTTATAAGTCACTTATAAGTGACTATACTTGCATAAAGCAAAAGTGGCTAATACTTGGTTTAAAAGTCACTTATAGGTCAAACACCTTATTTGCATATAAAATCCCAATGAGTCACTAATCAGTCACTAATAAGTTAAATGTATCTGTGAAGTATAAGTCCAGTATAAACAACTTATAAGTAAAAGAATATATCACTTATAAGTCACTTATCAGAAATATCTGTAAGGGAAGGTTCATATAAATAATTTCAAAGTTTGACATTTATCTTTGATCAAATGACCCCAAGGTGTCTTCCTCTTCCATTCTGCACCTACATGTACATTATATTTATAAAGAAAGTATAATGTTATAAGGATATCAAAAGCCTGAAAGGCTTCAATGACGTACGTTGAACAAGAAAAACAATTTCAAAAGATCTTTTTGAATTTGAAAATAGCAGTAAGTCAAGTGAGTGACTCAGGAGACATAATAATAAAAAAATAGTTTTAAACAAAATATCACAATTACAGTTTGGGACCTTATGTCATGGTCCGAATGGAGCAGGGTTCAAATTGACCAGACACTGTCGAACATGTTCATGCTAAATTCTTTTCAGTCAATTGAAGAACTATGAAGTATTTCATGAATTTACATAATATTTTTTTCTAATTGCCAATGTGAAAGCGTTGTGTTAGTGATTGCATCTAAACTATAACCATGACTCTGCTCTGTTACAATTACGATCGAGTTACGATAGGGCATGGTAAACGGTATACTGGGAAATGGAGGAAATGGAGAAATACAGTAATACTGGTCAACATCATCGGTTTTTAGGATAGAGTTGGTTAGAAGATTTTATAAGTAAAGCTAAGATTTAGAAATTCAATCTTTTTAGTCTTGTAGTATTCATGTTTATGTAATTTTGTAATTATTTTTACCTCCTGTTGTGTTGTTTATGTTACACGGTTGTCGTTCCAAAATGTTATTCATGTCATTCAATGCACCCTTCCTGCAGAAATTCATCCGCAACAACCATCACGTTTTTCTTTGTGAGAATTAAACATAATATCATTGTTTTGTAATAGAATTAATTGCAGATATAATTGATGCAATTTTATTTTCAAGCTTTTAGCCATTTTGAGCGTTTTCAAAGAAATTGGTTTATAGCTATTGCTATTTTCTATTGCGGATGCATCGACTGACACATTCGGTCGTGTACATCCGGTCGCAATTGATTTCAACTTGGCGCTTGCTAGATGACGTTCGAGCTTCAAGAGCTCGACGTCATAATAAATCAATATCCATTTTAACTCTTAAAAAATGTCATGATAATGATTACTAAATGTCAGAAAAAGACAGGTGTTTGGAATCACCTGGTCAAAGGTCAAGGTTAAAAGTCAAAAAGGCAAATTGAAAGGCACTCTCGTTATTTTGTACTAACAGAGTGTTGATGGATGGATAGATGGACACAGCGATTACCATAAGGACTAGCATCTTGTAGATAAACAATAACATAGGTAATCAGAGACTACAGAGCTCACCTCAACAAATGTTGTCTTTAAGTAAGGCAAAGTCCCACACTAAACTAAATTAAGGAGTGTGCATCCCTAGATGCAATATTTGTGCAATTTTGGTCTGATAGGGCTTGCAGTTACTTGGGAATAGACTTATCTGAAAACTTAAAACTAGTCACTCATCCAGAAAATGTAAGTCAAATCCAGCATCCGAAGCAAGTTTGAGATTGTTCGTCCCTTGGTCACTCATCCAGAAAATATAGGTCAAATTCAGCATCTGAAGCAAGTCAAGTAGTGTGCATCCTTAGATGTATCAACCATGCAAGTTTGGTCAATATAGGGCTTATAGTTACCTGGAAATGACATCTGCTCCAAAAACTTCAACCTGGTCACTCATCCAGAAAATGTAGGTCAGATCCAGCATCTGAAGCAAGTCCAGTAGTGTGCATCCTTAGATGTATTATCCATGCAAGTTTGGTCAATATAGGGTTTATAGATACTTGGAAATGACATCTGCTCCAAAAAGTTTAACCTGGTCACTCATCCGGAAAATATAGGTCAGATTCAGCATCCGAAGCAAGTCAAGTAGTGTGCATCCTTAGATGTATCATCCATGCAAGTTTGGTCGATATAGGGCTTTTAATTACTTGGAAATGAGATCTGCTCCAAAAACTTTAACCTGGTCACTCATCCGGAAAATGTAGGTCAGATCTAGCATCCGAAGCAAGTTCAGTAGTGAGCATTCTTAGATGTATCATCCATGCAAGTTTGGTCAATATATAGGGCTTATAGTTACTTGAAAATAAGACCTGCTACAAAAACTTTAACCTGCTCCAAAAACTTTAACCTGCTCCAAAAACATTAACCTGGTCATTTTATAGCTGAAATTGCAGCATCTGAAACCTTGACTGGTACAATGAAACACACTAGAAGCATCCTCCATGCATCTCTGACTAATATAGGCCATAGAAGTACTTGAAAAGAAAACTGCTCCAAAAATCTTAACCTGGGATGCCGACGCCGAGGTTATTACATAAGCTCCCCCAACTTTGTTGAGATGAGCTAAAAAACAAGAGGCCCATGGGCCTACATTTTACCTTGTGAAACTTTGATCACCCATTGTGGCCCCACCCTATCCCGGGGGTCATGATTTGAACCAACTTGAATCTAAACTACCAGAAGTTGTTTCCATATAAATATGCCAAACATGGCTTTGCTGTTCTTGAGAAGAAGATTTTTTGAGATTTTTCCTATGTATTTCTATGTAAAACTTTGATTGCCCATTGGTTACCCCATCCTACCCCCGTGGGTCATGATTTGAACCAAGTTGAATCTACACTACCTGATGATGCTTCCATATAACTATGACTACACATGGCTATGTCCTTCTTGAGGAGAAGATTTTTCTATGTATTTCTATGTAAAACTTTGATCACCTATTGTGGCCCCAACCTATACCCCCTGGGGTCATGATTTAAACAATTTGAATCTACACTACCTAAGGGTGTTTCCACATAAGTTTCATTTTTCCTGGCACAGTGGTTTTTGAAAAGATTGATTGATTGATTGATTGTATATAGGGAAATATCTGAAGACCTGTGACTTTCACTTCTAATGCCGGGCGCTTGGCAAAGGAACAGTCAGTACCTATGTTTACGTCTTAGGTTTGACACGGCGTGGCAAAAGAGAATCGAACCCGGGCCTCCTGATCACGAAGCGAACGCCCTACCACTAGGCTACCATGACCGTTTTTTTTTTTTTTTTTGAAAAGATTTTAAAAAGATGCCATTAATTTTTCACCAATTTATAACCATCTCCCCTTGAAAGAGGGCGTGGCCCTTCATTTGAACAACCTTGAATCCCCTTCACCCAAGGATACTTTGTGGCAAGTTTGGTTGAAATTGAAGTTTACAGACAGACAGACAGACATCGGACAAAATGTGATCACAAAAGCTCACTTGAGCCTTCAGCTCATGTGAGCTGAAAAACTAAGAAATACAAATTATATGAATGATATTTACATGTACTTTAAAAGACATCTATACTGTTGATTAAGTATACTACCTACCTCTCTTTAGAGTTATTCCCTCTATCTCCAATCTGAAAACATAGGACAAGGGGCTTTCATTGCTTATACTAACATCAGAAACCAAAGGTCTGAACTGAGAGGATCCATCCCATACCTTGTGCTAAAGATTGAAAAAATTATCACTTACATTGATTCCTTATAATTTTGATCATTATTGATACTTCTTTGTAAAAATGTATGTAAGAGCAAGTAAGTGAGAAAGAATTTATTTAAAATGTTATTTTTTCCTCAATAGATGTCTTTGTTTAGAGTTTATTCTACTGGTTATTATTGTTTTCCTTCTCAATTCTACAAATTCCTGAAAGAACTCTATAGCATATGTTAACCATGTAAGAAGACAATGACTATAGTATATGTTAACCATGTAAGAAGACAATGACTATAATATATGTTAACCATGTAAGAAGACAATGACTATAGTATATGTTAACCATGTAAGAAGACAATGACTATAATATATGTTAACCATGTAAGACAATGACTATAGTATATGTTAACCATGTAAGAAGACAATGACTATAATATATGTTAACCATGTAAGAAGACAATGACTATAGTATATGTTAACCATGTAAGAAGACAATGACTATAATATATGTTAACCATGTAAGAAGACAATGACTATAGTATATGTTAACCAATTAAGATTTTCAATAAACATATCAACCTTGAGTGGCCCCAAAATAAGAATTGACTATTTCTTTCTTGGCTATATGGGATTGCCGTACTGACTTCAGGTAATGGCTCTATCATAATCAACATGAAAATGTTTCAGAATAATTAAGTTTCAAGATACTACACTGGCTATTATACAATTACTGCTGTTTTGAGGTCAATATGATGATTTAACCACCTGTACAATATTCATGGAGCCTGAAGGGTGAGGTGAATATTGTACTTCGAGGGTGGCTAAATCGTATTATTATACCTCTATTAAGAATACTCAAATTTGATTGGCTTGTTAGAAGGCTTTTAAACTCAATGATGACTCCAAAAAGTACCATTTACAGCAATAATGACCTAGGAATCATTGCACGTGGGGTATAATGACCGGTCAATAAAAATAATGACCGCTAAAAATGACCTGTTAATCCAAATTCCATTCAAATTTTAAAATTAATGCATACAGTAATGACTGTTCATTACAAAAAATGCCGTTATAAAAATATGTATAGTCTTTTTATGATACGGAATACGATTGTCCTTTAGATGCGTCATAAAATTTATCGTTTTCATTGAAACTTTCGTTACAATGTCAAATTCAACGAATGCAGACTTGGCTCTTTTGTACAGTAAAAGTCTGCACCAGATTGTCATTGTACTCGGAAATGGTATTTGTGAATTTATTAAAATGCATGTTACTGACAATCACAGAGTGTTTTAATAAATCGGCGGTGCAAAAACTTACAAGACTTGCAGGCGAAAAGTAAACAACTTCACTAGCGAATCCCGATCCCGATGAAACACTGATAATAACAGATCGTAGATCTAATACACAGTTGATTATTTTAGTAATTAAGCCTACAAAAATTGTCTTGACTTATATCGGTATAATAAAACAATTGATTACCCCTTATGAGTTCAACATGGTGAAATAAGGACCCTCAACCTGGCCCACTCGCTGACCTGACCCGGCCGAGGCAGGTCACCTCGTGGGCCAGGTCTCGGGTCCTTATTTCACCATGTTGACCTCATAAGGGATAATTAATTGTATAGTATTGACTGAAAACATAGTACTGATTGTTTTACTTTATGAAATGATTGATATAGGGTGAATTCACCATGCATCGGACACCCTTGCACTTCAACAAGTTCTACCGATATCGCTACCGGCCGAATATTATCAAAATGGAACTTAACATGTAGTATGTGGTTAAATTATAAATTTTTGACACATTCGTGCCCTATTTATTGAGAAAATATCATTAAAAACCGATTTTTTCGAAATAAGTCAGAATTCACCATGGATCGGACAATATTCACCATGCATCGGACATACGATATTTATACCAGAAAAATATCATACCTTGATCTCTGTGCTTTAAAATTACTGATATCGAAACATTTTTATCTTTTATTAAAAAATTAAACTTCTAATTAAATTTGAATGACCATTTCGATCCACAAATATGAAGAGATTTTAGTTGCATCACATCGCCTTAGAAAGGCTTTACAATGCTAGTAATATGGCAACTCGCGCCTTTGTCTCGTGGGTTAAAATAATCTAGTTTAAAGAAGTAAATTGAGTCCACTTCTAGTCGTCATATATCGATAATTTGTATTTTCACTGAAAATTTAGAGTTTTTATTTTCTATTTCCGTAAAAAACAGCTGTCATTTGGGTTTTACATGAAAATGGAAGTGATTACCCATGCATCGGAAAGTGTCCGATGCATGGTTAATTTGTGTCCGATGTACGGTGAAATAAACATACTAGTAAAAGACAACTCTAAAAATTATTTTACAAACATTGAAGTAAAATTTTTGAAAAATTTCTGTAAAATTATCAATCATTGATAAATTTTACCTAGGTCCGACTCGTTCCGTTGAAGTCTATTTAAAAGAGCGACAACTCTAAAAATTGCAAAATCGTAAAATTCTGGTTACTCCCCTTTGATGATGCAAAATATGACGTAATTTCAAGGCCATTCTTGTGGTATTTTTATCACAACATGGAAATAAAAATCGACATCATTAAAAAGTTTATATCTTTACCTTTAAGACAGAAACAAGTAAAAACACGGGGAGACTCGGGTTCAATGAAAGTTTATTGCTGAAAGTTGTCCGAAGCAAGGTATGTGTCCGATGCATGGTTAACTCACCCTAAACCATGCCATCTTGCTGGAGTCCTAGCTAAATGCAGTGGGGCTCGAGAGATTAAAAATATACATATTAACTAGTTGTATTGACTTGGAATTTCTTAATCTATTTTTGGTGCAATGTAGAAAAAATAAATGTCAGGAAAGTAGATAGACCATTGATTTTGAAAAGGCAAGGGGGAATTATAAGGGGAAAACAATGACAAATTACCTGAAAAAAAATCTTTGACAAGTCAAAAAAAGAGGAGAATTCTGCAAAGTCCATGATTATCTTATTTCGGGTTGATAGGTATTAGGATCCAAGAATGCAGGAGGAATTTTACTATACTGTATCAAAAATTGGGGGGGGGGGGGGACCAGAAATTTTCAAACTAACTCAAAATTTTACTATTATAATTTTGCATTCAGAAAGAAATGGGGGAGGGGCATACACACACCACCCCCACAGCCTTAAATTCCATGTATATGTGCCTGAATGTTATGTTCACATGAGTGAAAGTCACATGCAGGTGAAATAACTTTTCAGAACTAATTGTATCAATATGGAAATTTCAATTTATTCTTAGTCCAAAGTGGAAAAAAAAAAATAGAGGTACTGTGAGCACTACACTCACAAAATAAAACCCCCACTCCCATATGAGTATAAAAGGAAAGTCAATTTTTTGCTGCAAAATAGGAAGTGCACAATGGCACTGTATAATAAAAATTCTGTTCAGTTCTCATTTTTATTCAGTGATATAGAAGGAGTTGTAGATACAAAATAGGTACCCCTGATATTATAGAAAGGATGGCAGTGTCCAGGTTTGGCTATGGGAAATCCAAAATATCTGTCTGTCATGATTAGAATGAAAAATAGGAGGTACATATTGGCACTATGAAATAAGAATACTGTGAAAGTTTTGTTAAATTTTATTCAGTAGTATAGGAGGAGTTGAAGATGAGAGATGGGTAACCCCCCCCCCATGTTATGGATGTACAGATGGAAGGATGTAATGTATATTTAACCCACACAACAAATGATAATATGAAAGATGAATGATGGACACTTCTGGATCAGAAAAGCTTACTTCAGCCTTTGGGTCAGGTGATCTAAAAAAGATCTTATGAAATAAAGCAGCTTACCTCTACCAACTTAGTGGTGCCCAGGTATCTGAACTCAAAACCATAGATGACTGAGTAATTCCAAGTCTCTTTCTGCCCGGTTTCAAAATATGTAACATTACACACTTCTCCTGGTGAAATAAGAAATAAAACATTTGCAAGCTTTTACTGTTTCCATATTTTGATGCCCTTTTCTAAGCTACCAGTATGCTACACATATCTGCATGAGATATAAACTAAAAGCTATATACTTTTCCAAAGCTGTTTTTTGACAATAAACTTTTCAGAGAATTAAGTTGAACTAAGAGTTAAACTTTGGTATTTTGAAGACGGATATCTCGAATACCATGGATATGTGGAAGTGATTTTTTAAGTCCAAACTGCTTACTCCTTAAGTACTTTACCCTGGATATCTCGAATCCTCAATTATCTCGAAGTATTTTCTTGGTCCCTTCGAGTTCGAGATAACAAGGTTTGACTGTACTAGATCGCAAATAACATCTTGTAAAATCGGTAAATTAAGGGTGGCCTGTTAATTACTATTACAGTAAATGTATCACATTTGGCTGTGTATTCTATTTAGCACCTTTCAGAGAAGACAGCTAGCTTCTTCTAAGTCAAGAGCATCAGTAAATGCCTTGAATGTTAATATTTTTAAGTAGCAAATCCAGAGATGTGCTTAATAACTTATTTGTTGAAAAATCAATTTCTGCCAAATATCGTACAGACTAAACATAATACATTTACAGTTTTGTTTAAATATGGGACAATTTCATTATATAAAATTTTACACTGTGTTTATTACTATAAACACACTTTCTAAAGAAAGTTTGGGTAAACATGTATTGTTCTTAACCTGGTCCAATCCGTCTGTCACACTATCTTCTTCCTTAAACTCCATGCTCTTATATTTAAAGTACTGTAGTCCAACTCAACTTTTGTAATATGATTGGTGGTGTGCCATAAGGTTTAGGAATTTACATTTTCACCTTGGGGATCAATTTGGAGTTGAAAAGCAAATTAAAGCAATGTATTCCTCTTACATTCTACACTTAGCCAAATCATCATTAATTTGGAATATAACTGGTGATGTCATGAAGATGAGAAATAAGATTTTGGAATTTTCAGATTGTGGGGAGCGGGCTTTAGGGAGGTCAAAAAACAATGTTTTTCTACGGAAACCATGTTACCAGAATTCCTGTTATACTTACAAAACATCAAACTACATGAAATTGCAACAGATATTGTTTTGTAATGAATAAACTCTAGAATGCACAAAATATATGTGATCATGGTGATAAAAAAATATCTTTTCAAAAAAAAAAAAAAAAAAAAAAAAAAAAAAAATGCTAACACATACAAATTTTCAAACAAGAGGCCCAAGGGCCTTAACGGTCACCTAAGTACAATACAACAATTTAAAGGATCCATAAACTGATAATGGAGCTTTGTTGCCCAAAAGCAGGAAAATAGTATGATTAGCATCAACAAAATAATTGGTTTAGTATCTGTCTTCCCCCATTTATCACTATTACCATGCAGACTAGTAACAAAATGTCTATTTTTTAACGCCAAAATAATACTTCTCACATTGGCCTCTCTAGGCCTTTGAAGAACATTTAAAAAGATTACAGTGCGGACTCATTATTGCGGTGACAGTTTTATAAGATAGAATGCTTATTATGTTGTAAATTCAAAGCACAAAACCATTTCTTAACAAATCTATACAAAATAGAACTGTTTATTACGATGTCCTAAAATGCCGGGACTCGGTATTACGATGTAAAAATTCTGTCCAAAATTTTTTTTCACTCTGTGTTTATTCAGTGTTGATCGACTGTAGACACTTAAGGAGACGCTAAATAAACATTGAAACACCTGTGCTCTGAAAGACTGTTAACTTGCAGGGCGTTAGGTGATTAGTGACGCTTGACTGCACACACCTTGACTGTTCTAGCGAGGTCAGCAGAATTGGAGACGTGTCAAAGCCATTGTTAAACAATTAAACTGTTTATTTATGAATGTAGTCTCTAGTTTATCTATCTCTGTAAAGTTTATTTTATTTTTTTTACTATGGATAATAAGTAAAATTTATTTATTAAATAAAGGGTTACATTTAATCGTATGCATGTATGTTAAATACGTAATGTGTAATTTCGTTTGCAGTTAAACAGCGGGAATTGACAGCTTGGGTATCAAACATAATTTTGGCAAATTTGAACTCCACAAACATTTTAACAGCTTGGATAGTGGCTTGGACTACCTCACAGATGTCAGCAGAAATACAAATCGATAATTGCTGAACTGCTAATTGAACTCTGTTCAGTAATTTAAAAATTCAAATTTATTTTGACATTTAGCTTGTGTGTTCTCAAATCCTGTCCAGGAATATGCCTATCACACTGCCCACTTTCATCAGTTGTTCACTGCAGCTCTAAGCTCAATGAACACCCAAAACTGCCCAAGTGATGTATTAATTGTTGTTATTTATTTAGTAACGAAAGTAAAAGGAAATGGCGGCAGATAAATGAAGATTGCCAAAGTTTTTATAAAAAATGTGCACATTTCTTTTAAAATGAAGGAAATAGAAGAAATAGCATCATGAAGATATCTTTTCAAGATAAGTTATTAATAAATTATATGTATATAGCATTTTAAGGAAGAATTTGAACAGAAGAAGGAAACAAAAGGAGAAAAATACACCTCCTAATACAACAACAAGCTTTCAAAACGATGTTTTACTGGATTTTATTGGGAACTTTTATTACGTTGCCCTCGGTATTACGATATTTTACCGTGACAAAATGAACATCGTAATAACGAGTCCGCACTGTAGTTATTTTTGTCTCATTTTTATTCATCTATTATTTCCAAGTCTACCTGATCATTAAAACTATGAAAGAATTTTTTGTATTATACAATAAATATTCTTGCATAATTCTTGTATTCTTTTAACCTTTCAAATACATTATTTACAGTGATTAATTATCAAAGGTGAATGGCAAAGGGGAATAACTTTGCTCAGCAGAATACAAGTTAATAGAGCCCTGGCCAGGACCAGAACACTTGACTAAATGGTCCATGTGTTCAAAATTCTAGTAAAAATACCCTTGCATATTAAAACTTTTACTCTGTTTGCCTCGAATATGCCCAGAAGCACAGAAGATTTTCAAAGAAATGCATTTTTACTATATCATTAAATAAATAATGCCTCACCCTTACACCAGAACATCTGACCCAGGGGCCATGAACTCACAATTCTGGAAGGAAGAAGCACTCTTGCTCATCATAACTAAACACTTGTTTCTTAGCTTTATAACCAGTAGTAGAAAAAATATTTTGAAAGAAATTATGCAATTTCACTATGTAATCAATAGAGCCCCCCCCCCCTTTCACCAGAACCCCTGACCCAGGGTGCATGAATTTCATAATTTTGGAAGAGGCATTCTTCCTTATCATAACCATGCACTTCCTCTGTTTGAATAATACCTAGGAGCAGAGAAGAAGATTTTCAAAGAATTAATGCATTTTCCCTATATAATCAATAGAGCCCCGCCCTATTACCAGAACCCCTGACCCTTTGGCCATGAAATTCACAATTTTGGAAGACACACTCTTGTTCATCATAACTATGTACTTAGTTACTTTATTTAATACCCAGGAGCAGAGAAGAAGATTTTCAAAGAATTAATGCATTTTCACTACATAATCAATAGAGCCCCACCCTATTACCAGAACCCCGACCCTTGGGCCATGAATTTCACAATTTTGGAAGAGGCACTCTTGCTCATCATAACTATATACTTAGTTACTTTATTTAATACCCAGGAGCAGAGAAGAAGATTTTCAAAGAGTTAATGCATTTTCCCTATATAATCAATAGAGCCCAGCCCTAACACCAGAAACCCTGACCCTGGGGCCATGAATGTGACAATTTTGGAAGAGGCACTCTTGCTCATCATAACTATGTACTTAGTTACTTTACTTAATACCCAGGAGCAGAGAAGAAGATTTTCAAAGAAATAATGCATTTTCACTATCTGATCTATATAGCCCCACCCTAGCACTAGAACCCCTGACCCTGGGGCCATGAAATTCACAATTTTGGTAGAGGGATCAATGCTCATTACAATCATGCCAACAGTTTGACTGCTTGATGTCCAGGAGTAAAGAAGAAGATTTTTAAAGATTGCATTAATTTTGGTGGTTTTAGCCCCACCCCTCAGGCCCCAGGGGGGCAGGGACCATGAAATTCACAATTTTTGTTCCCCTTCATCCATAGATGCTATATGCCAAATTTGGTTGAAATTGGAGCGATTTCAGAGAAGAAGCTAAAAATGTTAACCCACGACACACGACGACAGACAAAAACGGATAGCAATAGGTCACCTGAGTGACTTAGGTGACCTAAAAATAAATGAAGTTAAATTCAAAACATCCATTGCAAATTTAAATTATCTTTGTGAAATGATTATCTGTAACTGTTTAAATCAGATTACACCTCTATGAAAAATGGGAAATTTTCTCTCATTACTTTAGCAAAACATAGGATGGATTTACAGAGTTATCCCTCTTTTTGTGATAGGCTTACACACAGTTGATTCCATATATGAGGCATTAGCATACGTTACGTAACTTGTCACATACATGACGCCCTGCACTACTTTCCGTTTACAACTGACAACTTCATGTAAAGGAATGTTAAGTAGTTTCAAATGTATTTTGTCTAAAGATTTGTACATGTACAAATATATAACAGGGCTCTCACACCACTTTTTGGGACTGGGGCCAGGGCCGTAAATATTCGGAAAATTAGCAAACCTTTTGGGGAATTTTGGGAAAATCATAACCAGACATTATACATTATATTCATGATATATTGAGTTTCTGGTGGTTGTTATCAACAAAATTTCTGTTTTGTAATACAGAGAAATATGATTAACAGGTTTAATAACTACATTTCTTACTAAATGTTCTGCAATACATGGGGAAGTAACAGATTGGGAAAATTAACACATTCAATTGGGAAAAAAGATACCTTTTTGGAATTGGGAATGGGGCCTTGGAACGGCCCCAAATATAGAGAATCCAGAGCCCTGTATAATACAACTGCAAGCGTTTTATCATTGACAAAGATGTACATGCATGAACAAAATGATACTGGTATTACTGTTAAAGTCAATTAATTCTGCGTACGTAATAGAGTTACTCTTACATGTAATTTGACGGCTCATATCGGCCATCATACATGTGTGTCTACACACAAGTACACATCTTGGTAATTATACCTTTCTCCTCCCTTTTCTCAATTTTAATGTTAGCTGAGAGGTTTTCTGTCAACTCTTCAATATTCAGTTGTAATACATTATTGTGAGCAGTCACTCCCATAGACAATGCGGCACATGGAAAGTTTCTGTCGAGAAAGAAAATAATTAACAAATTGACAGTAATCTTTTAAATACAATGCTGAATAAAGTAATATTTTCATTGCTATAGGCTTTTCATCACAGATGATTGATCATACGATTTTTTCCATAAGTCATACTGGATCAAAGATATTAAGCAAATTCACACTAATTTACATGGGAGAAAAGATTTTGTTTGAATTCCTTGTACGAAATAATTTCTTTAGACTGGTTATCTATACATGAATTTATTATTAGCTTCATTTCAATTACATTTTTAGGACTTAATTAATTTAACATTTTACATGTGTTTTTAATTATTACATACGCAACAAAGATACTCTCCATTTTCATCTGTCTCCTGGTTTTGTTCTTACTGGAATAAAAAAAAAAGTTCAAATTATTAATATTACATCAATCAAATTTCCAAAATAAATTGTTGAATTACAAATGTCAAAATCTATGGGTGTCCCATAAAGTCAGTGTATCACAAATATGTATCTGTGGTTGAACTTAGGCAGAGTATTTATGCTGAGGGTTCAGGAAATAGACCTTGCACAAGCCGATCTGTCAACGCCAATCGTAGACTGGAATTTCTGTACTTGTAAGGGACACTTTATTTCTATCACATATATCTCTCCACGCCATTTTGTGGACAGGGATGCATCCTGGTTATTAAACTTGACTTCAACCTAATGTATCATGATAACCAGAACTGGTCTTCTTTGTTATTTCGTTTAAGAAATAACTGTCTGGTACAATCACCATGATTTAATAGCTAAATCAAATGATTGTACTAGACCTGTTTCCTTTTCTTTGGACATGTTGGAAACTTTTAAATTGTTCACAGTTGTATCACATAGTTTAGTGAAGTCCTCTTCACCAAAGCTAGCATTAATCATTGGATTTGGGTAGCTCACATGGGACCCAGTCCAACAAATGGCTGACTGTTCTCACACACTGACCCAACACTGACCCGCACGCCTTAATTACCTGCAGATCTGTAGCTCACTGGTCTAAAGAAATTTGTAGAATGGACAACCGGTCTGTCAACATCTTTTTTTTCTGAGAGCTACAACAGACGTGGCTTAAATTCCTCTCACCTCATTTGCAGGCTAATGTAAAGTTATAGATTTAACCTAACCCCTTATGTTGAAAAATAGGAACTTTGTTTGCTGAATAATTATATAATCTAAACATGATTTACATCGAATTAATATTCATGCAAAATATATCCAGAAGTTAATTTCTCTACCAGGTCCCAATCTTGAGTTCCTGTTGCTGATATTGACTTTATGATAGATTTTCAATTTCAGTTTGATTAAATTAACCATCACAGCTATTTTATAACAATCAAAAGTTTTGTCATTTTTAAAATATAAAAAATGTGCAGATTGCTTATTAATGCTATTTTGCATTGGATGTCCAACAAAATAAAATTGATATACAAGATTCACAATCAATGTTTTTTCCGTTACTCAACCAAGTATGAATATTTTTTCTTACCTTGAGAAAACGATGTGTACTTTTTGCTTATATGGAATATACCACCAAGAGCTGCAGTTTTGCACCTATAGCCACAGCTAGCAACTGTGTAAGTGAAGTGGGCGTGGTTTAGTTAGAATAATCTAACTGTTACTTGGGACAGGCCCTCGCCACAACTTGGTCCGTAGGACATTTATTATTTTAACGATAGAACATTCTATCTAGACGTGGTTCTTTCATGTCTATCCATGCGTACATGTTTCATTTAACTGTTTAAGTTCTTATTAAACTTACTGCATTCTTTTTCATACGAAAATTGTCGTTTACTTAAAAAATCATTGATATTTATACTTACTTTTCCCTCTCATGAGCTAACCACTCTATTTCCATGCGTTCACCATGGGCAACTTGCAACTGGCGCGACAAACTTACGAAGTGACCGTCAGTTTCCTTCTTCCTACCATATAGATAAAAGGGTGAAGGTCAACCACCTTAAATATGAATGCGGGTGGTTCACTCGGCACACCTCGGCCGATTCGTACCTGATGAAGGTGACGGAATCAGCCGAGGTTTGCCGAATGAAGGTGACGGAATCAGCCGAGGTTTGCCGAATGGCGGGTGGTTACGTTCCCCATTACGGTAGAGTCTATTACTTAACCAGTCAAGCAGTTCGGGAAAATTAATTCCGGTATGGTTTCAGTTTTATATTATGTAGCTGAGTACATCGATCCCGAAGTTAGTTTAGCGGCGGGAGAAATAACGTTTGGCATGATTAGCAAGAACTGAAAATGAAACGGAAGTAGAAACGAAGAGGTCACAAAGAAAAATACACCGAAACATTGATGCTACACGTCGATGAGCTGTGTTATGTGCATTGTATAAGAAAAAAGAAGCGGACTGGCGGCCGGAGGGTGAGGTGTATTTTTATGGTTAGAAACCCCACTAGAAAACGTAGGCCTAGTATAATCAACATCTACCCCTCTCATTTTTCAATAAAGTTAGCACCCCACACTCTTACACAGCTCCTTATTTTCTTTAGAATTTAGTGAATTTATTCAAAAGTGTGTATATATATATTATAAATGTATAGAAGTTTGAAGACTTTCAGTGCGAGAGTAGGGGAATTATTTTGTCATTTTCGAACGTACAATGTCTTGTATATTTTTAATATGTTGACGGTGCAACCGTAAGGGTGAGCGCAGATACCTATATTCAGTTTTAATTTAGATCGGGCTCTTCAAAGTTATCAAACTGCACGAGACTTTTAGTACGTCTAGACTCTGACGTCATATAACGTCGCTTGTAAGTAGCATTACCAAAACAAAGTCTGAACAGGGCTTATTTTAATAAAGAAGTTTTAATCTACTATTTGTCTGCTATATATCCATCAAATCAACATGGGTGTATATTTTTTTGGGAACTTCTTGCTACCGCGAGAACGTTGTTTGTGGGGAGAAGCAATTCGCAAAGCATTATGGGACCACAGGTAACTGTGGAAAAAAATTCATTTGGATCAATTTGCAAAGTCAGAATTTTCTCTTCACCCAGGCATTGCTTTTAGAGCTCCCAGTGATGAGCGGCGCTTTGCGCTGCTCGCTGCGCTCGCTAATATCTATGCTTTTTCATATGTTAATTTAATATTATAACTGGAAAGGATTGACAGGGAATCAAACTTGGACTCCTGCATAGCTTGTAAGCTGCTCTAATCCACCCATGCCGACATCCCGGTCAGCACAATCCAAACCACTAAGTGTATCTGGTCACCAGCAATTGGACCTGCCTGAGCTTCTTGTATCTGATCACCAGCAATTGAACTTGCCTATCTGCCATTTTCATCTAGGTTTGTTAACGTCCAAGAAAGTATGAAGTGTACTTAAACTAAACTTATGATCTGGTATTTTCAATAAGATTTTATTTTAAATTGAATGAGGAAGTTATTGATATTTTGAAGTTATTTTGAGCAGCATATTTCAATCCATTTATTGTGAATAAAAAAGATTTCTTTTAGTTGGAAATGATGTAGTTTACTCAATGGTGTGTAGACTGTCAACATGTGAAACCTACATAGTCTCCTCTGTTAAAGATCACTAATGGTGGATAAACAATGAGTGATGCAGACTGTTCACCAAAAGGGAGTTTTGACACCTGTATGCCTATATTTCTACCAATCACCCTGTTATCTTTTTTTGTCATGTTCTTTGGACAGGTAAAATAACAAGGTAATTGTTGAAAATAATTTTAATATGTAATAAAAATAGAACATATATAAACTACATACACAGCATCAATACCCCTTCCTCCTTTGGCACAGGTGAGCTTTTTTGATCCAAATTTGTCCATTGCATGTGCAATCTAATTAAAATTAGATCCTTTGATCTGCTCACATATGATCCCTACACACTTTGTGTAGCGATCATATGTGAGCTGATCAAAGGATTTAATTTCAATTAGATTGTAGCATGTAGTCATTTACATCATTGATTTTTTGGTTAACTTTTCACAATTTCCTCTTCTTCTCTGAAACTAATTTTAACCAAATTTGGCACAGAGTATCCTTGTGTAAAGATTTAAATGAAGGATCATGCCCCCTTTCAAGTGGAAATAATTAAGAATAAGCAAAAACTTGAGTGTGGTCATTTAGGAATCTTGTTCAGAACAACATATATTCCAGTCAGGGAAGGACATGATAAAGTCAGTTTAGAACCTAGCTTACCCAGACTTAAAGTGACTTCCTTCAGTCAGTTTAGAACCTAACCCAGTCAGGCAGAAACCTAACCCACTTAGGCAGGAACGTGAAATAGTCAGTTCAGATCCAAATCAGTAATGCAGAAACAAAACCCACTCAGGCTAAAAATTGAATAAGTCAGTTTAGAACATTACCCAGTCAGGCAGAATCATAAAACTGTTAGTTAAGAACCTAACCCTGTCGGATAGAAACTTAACTCAGTCAGGCATGAACATAAAACAGTCATATTAGAACCTAACCCAGTCAGGTAGAAACATCAAACACTCAGTTTAAAACCTAACCCAGTCAGGAAGGTACATTACCTAGTCAGTAAGAAACATGAATTAGTCAGTTTAGAACCTAACGCAGTCGGAGCGTATCATAAAACATTCATTTTAGAACCTATCCCAGTCAGGAATGTAACCCAGTCAATCAGGGACATAAAACAGTCAGTTCACATCCTAACCCAGTTAGGTATAATCATAAAACAGTCAGTTCAGAAACATGAACAAGTCAATTTAGAACCTAGGCAGAATTGCGTAACATTCAGTTAAGAACCTAACCCAGTCAGGTAGAAACCTTACCCAGTCAGGTAGAAACCTAAGCCAGTCAGGTAGAAACATAAAACTGGCAGTTTAGAACCTAACCCAGTCAGGATTAAACATAACCCAGTCAGACAGAAACATGAACAAGTCTGTTTAGAACCTAATCCAGTCAGACAGAATCAGAAAACAGTCAGTTTAAAACCCAACCCAGTCAGGTAGAAACATAATCCTGTCAGAAACTGAAACAGTCAGTTCAGAACTTAACCCAGTTAGGTAGAAACATAATCCAGTCAGGCAGTAATATGTACAAGACAGTTTAGAACTTAACCCAGTCAGGCAGGGACATGAACAAGTCAGTTAAGAACCTAACCCAGTCAAGCTGAATCATGAAACTGTCAGTTTAGAACCAAACCCAGTCAGGCAGAAATATTACCCTGTCAGGCAGAATCATAAAACTATCAGTTTTGAACCCAACCCAGTCAGGAAGAAACCTATCCCAGTCAGACAGAAACATGAACAAGTCAATTTAGAACCTAACCCAGTCAGGCAGAATTGTATAACATTCAGTTAAGAACCTAACCCAGTCAGGTAGAAAAATAAACCAGTCAGGTAGAAACATAAATCTGGCAGTTTAGAACCTAACCCAGTCAGGATTAAACATAACCAGGTCAGACAGAAACATGAACAAGTCAGTTTAGAACCTAATCCAGTCAGGCAGAATCAGAAAAAGTCAGCTTAAAACCCAACTCAGTCAGGTATAAACATAAAACAGTCAGTTCAGATCTTAACCCAGTCAGGTGGAAACAAAACCCAGTCAGGCAGTAATATGAACAAGTCAGTTTAGAACTTAACCCAGTCAGGCAGGAACATGAACAAGTCAGTTAAAAACCTAACCCAGTCAGGCTGAATCATAAAACAGTCAGTTTAGAACCTAACCTAGTCAGGCAGGAACATAAGTCAGTTAAGAACCTAACCCCTAATCCCTAATCCTTGCCCTATGTGACTCCGGGTGCAACAAGGACTAGGTAGTAGTTAGGTAAGAACCTAACCCAGTGAGGTAGAATTGTAAAACAGTAAGCTTAAAACCTAACCCAGTCAAACAGGAACATAAAACTGTCAGTTTAGAACCTAACCTATTCAGGCAGAAACCTAACCCAGTCAGGTGGAAGCCTATCCCACTCGGGCAAGAACATGAACAAGTCAGTTTAAAACTAACCCAGTTAGGCAGAATCATGAAACAGTCGGTTCAGAACCTTATTCAGTGCGGCAAGATCATAAAACAGTCAGTTTAGAACCTAACCCAGTCAGGCAGAGTCATAAAACAGTCAGTTTAGAACCTAACCCTGTCAGGTAGAAACATAACCAAGTCAAGCAGGAACATGAACAAGTCAGTTTAGAACCCAACCCAGTCAGGCAAAATCATGAAGCAGTCACTTTAAAACCTAACCCATTCAAGTAGAAACCTAACCCAGTCAGGCAGGAAAATGAACAAGTCGGTTCAGAACCTAACCCAGTCAGGCAGAATCATGAAACAGTCATTTTAGAACGTTACCCAGTCAGGTAAAAACATAAAACAGTCAGTTTATAACCTATCCCAGTCAGGAAAAAACCTAACCCAGTCAGGCAGAAACATGAAAAAGTCAGATAAGAACCTAATGCAGTCAGGGAGAATCATGAAACAGTCAGTTTAGAACCTAACCCAGTCAGGCAGAGTCATGAAACAGTCAGTTCAGAACCTTACTCAGTGCGGCAGGATCAAAAAACCGTCAGTTTAAAACCTTGTCCAGTCAGGCAGAATCATAAAACAGTCAGTGTAGAACCTAATCCTGTCAGGTAGAAACCTAACCCAGTCAGGCAGGAAGATGAACAAGTCAGTTTAGAACCCAACCCAGTCAGGCAGAAACATAACCCAGTCAGAAACATAAAACAGTCAGTTCAGAACTTAACCAGTCAGGTAGAAAGATAACCCAGTCGGGCAGTAATATGAACAAGTCAGTTTAGAACTTAACCCAGTCGGGCAGGAATATGAACAAGTCAGTTAAGAACCTAAGCCAGTCAGACTGAATCATAAAACAGTCAGTTTAGAACCTAACCCAGATAGGCAGGAACATAAGTCAGTTAAGAACCTAACAAAGTCAGGTAGAATTGTGAAACAGTAAGCTTAAAATCTAACCCAGTCAGGAAGAAACCTAATTCAGTGTGCCAGGAACATAAAACTGTGAGTTCAGAACCTAACCCAGTCAGGTAGAAACCTAACCCAGTCAGGCAGGAATATAAAATATTCAGTTCAGAACCTAACCCAGAAACATAACCCAGTCAGGCAGTAATATGAACAAATCAGTTTAGAACTTAAGCCGGTCAGGCAGGAACATGAACAATTCAGTTAAGAAACCAAGCCAGTCAGGCTGAATCATAAAACAGTCAGTTAACAGGGCTCGACATTAACGCTTGTCAGCTTGCCCGGTACCAGTGAAAAAAAATTACGGACAAGTGAATATTGCTGGGCACTTGTCCGATTGGACAAGTGCATTTTAATGTAAAGGAGTCTCTAAATAATAATAAGAGCGATTGTGAAAGTTAATCGGTAGTTTCAAGACGGAAGCTGTACATATAAACCGGACTTTGATCCCGATAGGGATCGCTATTAATATTGAGTTCACATTGGATCGGGATCGAAGTTCACTAATTGCATACTACTGAGAAGGTATGGAACGTACGAACATAACGAAGTTTGGTTCACTTGTGGACATTTATGTTGTTGTCAGGACAGAAAGCCTAGATAAAATTTCGTTTTATGTGTTTGTTGTAAATATCAATAACATCACTAATCAACCAAGCACGTCATGTGTAATGGACTTTATTTTAGTTTTCAAGTTGACAGTATTAGATCTTTATTGAAAAATTTTCGGACAAGTGAAGTTGAAGTTCGGACAAGTAAATGTCTTGGTCACTTGTCCGAATGGACAAGTAGGAAAAAAAGTTAATGTCGAGCCCTGGTTAAGAACCTAACCCAGTCACATAGAGTTGTAAAACAGTAAGCTTAAAACCTTACCCAGTCAGGTAGAAACCTAACCCAGTCAGACAGGAACATGAACAAGTTAGTTCAAAACCTAACCCAGTCAGGTATAAACCTAACCCAGTCAGACAGGAACATGAACAAGTTAGTTCAAAACCTAACCCAGTCAGGTATAAACCTAACCCTGTCAGGCAGGAACATGAACAAGTCAGTTTAAAACCTAACCCAGTCAGGCAGAATCATAAAATAGCCAGTTTAGAACCCAAACAAGTCAGGTAGAAACTTAACCCACTCAGGCAGAATCATAAAACTATCAGTTTAGAACCTAACCCAGTCAGGAAGAAACTTAACCCAGCCAGGTGGAACCCTAACCCAGTCGGGCAAGAACATGAACAAGTCAGTTTAGAACCTGACCCATTCAGACAGAATCAGAAAACAGTCAGCTTAAAACCCAACCCTGTCAGGTAGAAACATAACCCAGTCAGAAACATAAAACAGTTGGTTCAGAACTTAACCCAGTCAGGTAGAAACATAACCCAGTCAGGCAGTAATATGAACAAGTCAGTTAAGAAATTAACCCAGTCAGGCAGGAACATAAACAAGTCAGTTAAGAACCTAACCCAGTCAGGCAGAATCGCCAAACTGTCAGTTTAGAACCTAACCCATTCAGGCAGGAACATTAAACAGTCAGTTTAGAACCTAACCCACTCAGGCAGAATCATAAAACGGTCAGTTTAGAACCTAACCCAGTCAGGCAGAAACTTAACCCAGCCAGGTGGAAACCTAACCCAGTCAGGCAAGAACATGAACAAGTCAGTTTAGAACCTGACCCAGTCAGACAGAATCAGAAAACAGTCAGCTTAAAACCCAACCCTGTCAGGTAGAAACATAACCCATTCAGAAGCATAAAACAGTCGGTTCAGAACTTAACCCAGTCAGGTAGAAACATAACCCAGTCAGGCAGTAATATGAACAAGTCAGTTAAGAAATTAACCCAGTCAGGCAGGAACATAAACAAGTCGGTTAAGAACCTAACCCAGTCAGGCAGAATCACGAAACTGTCAGTTTAGAACCTAACCCAGTCAGGCAGAAACATAAAACAGTCAGTTTAGAACCTAACCCAGTCGGGCAGAATCATGAAACAGTCAGTTTAGAACCTATCCACTCAGGTAGAAACCTTACCCACTCAGGCAGTCAGGCAGCAACCACTCAGGCAACCACACAGTAACCACTCAGGCAGAATCATAAAACAGTCAGTTTAGAACCTACCCAGTCAGATATAAACATAAAACAGTCGTTTTAGAACCTATCCCAGTCAGGAAAAAATGTAACCTAGTCAGGCAGAAACATGAACAAGTCAGTTCAGAACCTAACCCAGTCAGGCAGAATCATAAAACTGTCAGTTTAGAGCCTAACCCAGTCAGGTAGAAATCTAATCCAGTTAGACAGGAACATGAATAAGTCAGTTTAGAATCAAACCCACTCTAGTTAAAACCTAACCCAGTCAAGCTGGAACAAAACAAGTCAGTTTAGATCCAGACATTCTGAGTTTGAAATTTTGATGTTAAAGGGGGAGTTTCGATAAGGCCGCTCAGCGGCCCACTTTTTCTTAAAAATAAATTTCAATTTATTTTTTCAAAACTAGTTTAGAATTCAAGATAAATATGTTAACTTTTGTTATTTATATTTTAAAAGTTAATATGAGAAGAATTAACACTGTAGCTGATACATACTTAGATGTACACTCAGATTCGTTAACATTAGGCTCATGGGAAAATATAAGAGGGTGGCATTTATAAATCGATGTTTAGAATATGAAGTGCATGAGGGACACTCACCTAAATTTGTTCAGTAATTAGATATACTCTGCACACTAATTTCTTGAAATATGATGAGTGTCGCCTGTGCACTTCATATCCAAAAATTGAAAATTGCATAACATGCATATCTAAAAGTAGAAACTCCTGGTTTCTTGATCTGACTCTGTGTTAAAATACTAAGCCAAAAGTAGCATATTTTGTTGAATTAAAGAAGATTCTCGATTATACATGTATTAACAGTAGAAAACATTATCGTATCCTGTCTTCATTTTGATACTATTTTTGTCGCCAACATATAACGTTAACGCTAACGTCACATTTTTAGCTCACCTCCTCGAAGTTGGGGGAGCTTTTGTAATACCGTCAGCATCGGTGTTCCAGGTAAAAGTTTTTGAAGCAGATTTTTTTTCAAGTATATCTATGCCCTATATTAATCACAGTCACCTGATCTAGCATGTTTCCTTGTCACCAGTAAGGTTTCAAATGCTGGATTTTAGCCAAAGAATGTCCAGGTAAATGTTTTAAAAGCAGGTTTAAGTTTTTGGAGCAGAGCAGCTGTAAGCACTTGTTGATCAGACTTGCTTCATGATGCATCTACAGATGCACACTATTAGATTGCTTTAGATGCTGGATATGACCTACATTTCCTTAATGATAGAGCAGGTTAAAGATTTTGAAGTGTGTCTCATTCTTATGTGACTATAAGCCCTATCATAACCAAAATTGCACTGATGATGCAACTAGGCAACTAACACTACCAGACATGGTTCAGATGCTGGAACTTTCTTACATTTTCTGACTGACTGAACAAAAAAGTTTTAAAGCAAGTCCATTCCTTAACGTTATTTATCATGCATAGTTACAAGAAAGTCAAAAATACAAATATTTTTGACTTTCTTGTATAGAAATTCACGCTCCAACATGCTAGAGAAGTGCCCATGTATTTCCGTGTGATTGACATATAGGGAACGTGGATTGTTTTAAGTTTGGATGTCTAGGCGCATATGTCTGCCTGATTAAGGATTAAACACATATCTTTGGCATTTACACGTGTATTTCGAACTGCGCTTTGGTCTAGCAAATCATTTATAATGAATTCTAAAACTCTCTAAATGAGGAGTGACTAGAGTTGGTGAAGCAACTTAAGTATCTATGGAGAGCGGGGAAGCGATAGGAAATTAGTCCTGGCTGGGATTCTCTCAGTTATGCTGAAAACATAATGCAGGCAAATACTTCTAAGTTTCATTATGAAAAGGAAACACTCAATGTATTATAGATTTTTCCATCATTTGGCTATTCACATATTACGTATCATGATAAAATATTTTTGACTGTAATTAATATTATTCATATTATCAAATACATTGCAATATACTGAAGCCGGTAGGTGCTAGGTAAAAAAAAAATATATTATCTGGCCTGCCATTGAAATATCTGGCGGCTGCCAGAAAAAATTTAGTGGTTTGCCAATCAAGTTGTAGCACCCAATGATGTACCTTAATGCACTTGATTGACAGAGGTACACAGACCAGGTATTTTTAAAGGCGGTGCTTAAAATCTCTGCCTTTAATGACATCTACAACTTCTGTTTGTAGTCAAATCTGGGAGTTTCATGCCTTATTAGCAAGATTACATGTCTACACCGCAAGAAACTTACTTGCCTGCTTCTAGTTATTTATGTGTTGGCCGCCAAATAAGTTTCTGGTCGCTGCCAGTTATTTATGTTTTGGCCGCAGGAAAGCTATTTGGCAGATATATTTTTCTAGTGGCCGCCAAATAATTATGTGGTGGCTGCCAGATAAAATATTTTTCTTACCTTGCACCTACAACATACCGGCTTACATAGCAATATGATTCTTTTAAATAAACTTCTTATTCATGTATGTATATAAAGTTGCATTTATTTTTTAATCTTTTTAATTCAAAACATTTTATTTAAGGAGGCTGGGGGGTCAACAAATTAACCACAAATTAACCACCAGATTTAACTTTAATTTTTAGATATGATATCTTAAGCTGTCAACTATCATTTGGCAAAGAAAATTTCAAAAATTTTAGTTTTAAAATTTGATCATTTTCTATATCTTCATATGGAGCTCTTCTTCTAAAGGAGATCAATATAGTCTAAAAATGGCCACAACCCCCCAGCCTCTTTAATATCAATTATATGATATTAAGGTATATTTTTATAAAATATGTAGTTGTATAATCTCATTGATGAAAATGTATTGCATATCCCTGTATATGACGTTTTTACGTTTACCTATCTCATGTCCATATATCTTATCATTTGCATTTTTCGTATGGGAAAATGTTAAATATTGATTGTAAAGTTTACATATAAACTGTCGATTAATTATGATGTTAAAACTTTCTATATATGTTTACGTTTTATAAGATCAATTCATCCTCTTTTAAAGAAAAGTAACGTTTAACACACCAGAAAAATATCGCACCTTAAAAAAAAAAACATTCGCGTAAGGTAAATACCATTTTCCGTAAAAAAAATTGTTGAAATTGGTTAATTTATGTCTTTATTCATATTTACCCTATTTCATTTATTATTTTGACGATTTAAAAAATCCACTTTCCCCCTATAAAAATGTCTACTCCAAAAATATACGAAAGGGGGTATACTTAAATTTTCAATTATCACGTGACCGGAAAATGCGTCACATAAATTATTTTCATATTTTTTGGACGATAAGGAGTTTTTCTACAAAATATAAAAAATTTCAGAAAATTTTGTGAGGGGCCGAAAAACCGCCTTATCGAAACTCCCCCTTTGTTTTTATTATTGTTTGGTTGATGAAGTAATGTTCCTAGTTTCATATTTTACTTCACTGGAATTTTTGCAAATGAAAGAACAATTTTAAAAATGTGTTTGATAACCCCAAAAAACTGCACCAGATATACTCAAAGATTTTTATTGTATTTTATAATCATCTATACTTATTTTAAATTCTTTGTCATTGCAAGAAATCATTTGCAATTCTGTAAATGAGTATAATTTCTGAGAATTCAAATTACCATAGAAGCAGAATTTTTAGGGAGGATTCAATTTTGGCATTTTTAGTGAGGGAACTGAGATTGCTAAAATTGAATATTGCTAACAATTTGTTCTATTTTGGCTGTTATAGCTTTCTCTCTTGATATTACAAAATCACTTAAATTACTTCTTGCTAAAAATTTGGGGGTAAATTTCTAAATTGGCATCTCACTAAGATTTCCACTTATACAGTATTTTTTTGTTAAAAACAAGTACATGTATTTGGTGGTTTATTTTCTTAGAATATGGAAATGCTTTCATAATAGGCATATACATGTTCATATATCTCTTAAGAAGGTCATTATTTTTTTTCAGATCTGCTCTTTTGATGAAAACTGTGAAAAAAGATCCCATTTCATGAAATTCTAAGATGTTAAAATGTAGTACAACACCTAAAATGAAAATTTTGTGCATTTTTCCAGGTAAAACAAGTAGAAAGAAAAGGCTGGAGCAAAGATGAGAAAAGGTAGGTTAACATAGTTGTCATTTGATAAAATCAAAAGATGCTATTCAGTACCCACCCATCCCCTCCCCTTAAAGCAAATAGACTTAAAAGGGACAAAAGACTGTAATCACTTTGTTTGTATGTTTTGATATACATGTATGTCCTGAACATGTCTTTTAACTGATAAACTAATTTGACTGAGTTCAAAAACATTCCTGCATATTATCTGTATAAGAGATTTTAAAAATTGATGAACAGATCTGATTCAGACTTTTTGCTTAGACTGTACTTCCCATCTTTTGACAGCACCATATGCCAAGGGTTTGTAAGGAGAGTAGCAGATCAGAAACCTTTGACTAGAGAAGATGGTATTTGTTGTGACAAGACCTTTCTTTGAATACAAACACTTTTTGAACTCTTTACTTTAACCTTGTAGACCTCAACCTAAATTTGAAAAATCCAAACCTTTGTCTTGAACTGCCATAGGGGACAACAATGTTTCACAAACACATCTTGTTATTTCATATAAATATCATTTGCTTTCCTTTCAACTTAAAATTATGCAATAGTTTGTCATAATTACAGTGAATGGAGACAGATTCTGATGATGCCATCATTGGGAGGCAGGATGACTATAAGACACTAATTCCTCATCCATAAAGATTTCTACAAGTGGTTCATTTGGTAGGTTAGACTGGCATACCAACAAACTTAGATGGTGTGATAGAATCACTTTTTCCCCCAGAGAATACATTGTTTTACATTTCTTGGACACTCCTCAGCATAATAATCATATTTAAAGAAAACACTACCAATTCTACAATGTGGCAACAAATGTTCAAAAGGCAGTAAACTGAATATTTTTTGCTCACCTCAACAAAGTCGAGATGAGCTTTTGCTTTATAAGTGTGTTGACATCCCAGTAAAAGTTTTATGGGCAAGTTCATTCCCAAGTAACTTTAAGCGTAGAGCTTATAGTTACTTGGGAATGAACTTGCCCATAAAACTTTTACAAAGTACCAAAGTTTCAAGTAACTATAAGCTCTACCTGTACAAAAAGTTGCATGGATGATGCTTCTGACTTAAGTGGATGATAAGACATTTATTTTCAGGATGATTATTTTGGACATTCCCAAGAAACTATAATTCCTAACTAGACCAAACTTGTATGGTAAGGCATGTAGATTTGCACACTACTAGAACATTCAATTTATGATAGACATTGCCTTCACTCATAGATAATATTCTTCTGAGGAGAACTTTAAGAAAAGTGATTTTGATGTTATGCACTTATATTTTCAGAAATGAATACAGATTTCATTACAAGACGTGAGTATGTTCAAAGGAAACAGCCAATCAAAATGAACTTAGTCAGTTATAGTTGTATATATAACGAGACAATTTATTTTTATTTTTTCATTTTTGGCATCATATTTTAGGCCTACAGTATTAATTTTGGACTCGTGAGCTAAGAATATCATATCTTTAGCAGAATTGTCCCACTTAATTAAAGGGAACTTTTTTTTAGGTGTGCATGGTGCAACATCCTGGATGGTGTGTAGTATGTTTGTTAACATGTGAAGCCTACGTGTATTTCAGGGTAGATATGTTTACTGTTAATTACTGTCAGGGTGTATTTTTTCTGGTCTCAATTTTTAAGTCACCTGAGTCACTCAGGTGACCTATAGCTATCCGTTTTTGTCTGTCATCGTGCAATGTGTGTTAACATTTGAACATTTTTAGCTTCTTCTCTGAAACCGCTCAACCAATTTCAACCAAATTTGGCATATAGCATTCTATGGGTGAAGGGGAACAAAAATTTTGAATTTCATGGTCCCTGCCCCCCCTGGGGCCTAAGGGGTGGGGCTAAAACCACCAAAATTAATGCAATCTTTAAAAATCTTCTTCTTTATTCCTGGACATCAAGCAGTCAAACTGTTAGCATGATTGTAATAAGCATTGAGCCCTCTACCAAAATTGTGAAATTCATGACCCTAGGGTCAGGGGTTCTGGTGCTAGGGTGGGGCTTTATAGATCATATAGTGAAAGTGCATTATTTCTTTGAAAATCTTCTCCTCTGCTCCTGGATATTAAATAAACCAACTAAGTACATAGTTATGATGAGCAAGAGTGCCTCTTCCAAAATTGTGAATTTCATGGCCCAAGGGTCAGCGTTTCTGGTGTTAGGTTGGGGCTCTATTGATTATATAGTGAAAATGCATTAATTCTTTGAAAATCTTCTTCTCTGCTCCTGGATATAAAATAAACTAAATAAGTACATAGTTATGATGAGCAAGAGTGCCACTTCCAAACTTGTGAATTTCATGTTCCAAGGGTTAGGGGTTCTGGTGTTAGGGCAGGGCTCTATTGATTGTGTAGTGAAAATGCATTAATTCTTTGAAAATCTTTTTCTCTGCTCCTGGGTATTAAATAAAGTAACTAAGTACATAGTTATGATGAGCAAGAGTGCCTCTTCCAAAATTGTGAATTTCATGGCCCCAGGGTCAGGGGTTCTGGTGTTAGGGTTGGGCTCTATTGATTATATAGTGAAAATGCATTAATTCTTTGAAAATCTTCTTCTCTGCTCCTGGGTATTAAATAAAGTAACTAAGTATATAGTTATGATGAGCAAGAGTGCCTCTTCCAAAATTGTGAATTTCATGGCCCCAGGGTTAGGGGTTCTGGTGTTAGGGTGGGGCTATATTGATTATATAGTGAAAATGCATTAATTCTTTGAAAATCTTCTTCTCTGCTCCTGAGTATTAAATAAAGTATTTAAGAACATAGTTATGGTGAACATGGCTGCCTTTTTAGAAATTATGAATTTCATGGCCCCAGGGTTAGGGGTTCTGGTGTTAGGGCGGGGCTCTATTGATTATATAGTAAAATTGCATTAGTTCTTTGAAAATCTTCTCTGCTCTTGGATTTTAAATAAACTAACTTGGTGCATAGTTATGACAAGCATGGTTGCCTTTTCCAGAATTGTGAATTTCATGGCCCCTGGATCAGGGGTTCTAGTGTAAGGGTGGGGCTCTATTGATTAGATAGGGAAAATGCATAAATTTTTTCAAAATTTTCTTCTCTACTCCTGGGTATTTTTCAAACAAAGGAAGTGCATGGTTATAAGGAAGAATGCCTCTTCCAAAATTGTGAAATTCATGGCCCCAGGTAGACTTGGAAATAATAGATGAATAAAATTGAGACAAAAATAACTTATCCTTTTTAATTGTTCTTCAAAGGCCAAGAGAGGCCAATGTGAGAAGTAAAAATATGGGATTAAAAAATAGACAGTTTGTTGATATTCTGCATGGTAATAGTGATGAATGGGGGACAGATAGATACTAGACCAATTATTTTGTTGATGCAAATCATACTATTTTCTTGCTTTTGGGCAACAGAGCTTCATTTATCAGTTTATGGATCCTCTAAATTGTTGTATTGTACTCAGGTGACCGTTAAGGCCCTTGGGCCTCTTGTTTGTTTAAGCATTAATCTTTATTTTCTCTTTCATTGATTATCTGCTTAGAGTCTTAGTTAATTAATTAATTTAATTGAAGCTATATAGTAACATGTAGTGAAATTATTTCATTGTGTCGGACCTAAAGAGTAACAGGTAACTCTCATTTTGACTACAATTTCTCTGATTTCAGGAGTTGTCTCCCATGTTTAAGATCAGTAATGGCGGATATTCAATGCAGTATGCTGTCTGGTCATCAACAGAGAGTTTTGACACCCGTATTTCTACCAATCACCTCTGTAACCTTTGTTGTGTTCATCAGATAGGTAAGAAAAACAAGATAATTAATTAAAATAATTTTAATAAGATAAAATTAAAACATTTTTACATGTATCGACTCCCTCATATAAGAAAATGTCACATTTTACTCATACAATTATACATCATTTACATTTCCACATTTTCCCCATTTACACAGTTGAATAGAATCAGTGCATAATAAAACATAACAACAATTATTATATAGTCTATAAATTTACAAATTATTTATTAATTACAAAATTCATACATTTAAATTAAATACACAGCATCAATGCCCCCCACTCCCCTCCCTCCCCCCTCCCTTTTCACACAACTTCCTTTTTAATATTGAATCTGTTACTGATTTACTGTAAGTGTCTTTAGATTTTTAGCTCACCTCAAAGAAGTTGGGGGAGCTTATGTGATACCTCCGGCGTCCCAGGTTATACCGTATTTGGCTGAATATAATACGCACTTTTTTCCCAAAATAATTTTCTGTGAGAAAGGGGTGCGTATTTTACACCACAATGGGATTTTGATAGGTTTTTCTTTCATGTGAAACACGGCTATCATACGCACATACCGTAGTATTACCTAGAGACTTGTGCAATTTCTTGCTGTTTATTGCCGTATTTAAAACTTCGGAAAGTTATTGTTGGAATGTAGACTTGTTAAAAATGTTATATTTATAACCTTTTGATAGTTAAATTAAATTTAAAAGCAAGTTAAAATTAATTTGAGCTGCAAGTTCATCGTCTCCGTGTAGGCCGCCATTAACGATGTTATTTATAGATGTTCACACATTCCTTTGCCACGTGCTTCCATAATCATAGTACACATGTACCTATAGCTAATCAGTCAGACACTCGGTCAAAAAAGTAATGTCATTTTTTAATGAAATACAATAAAATAAAATTTATTTTAGGTTTTAAATAACTCTGTGAAAATTCATTTCAAAACACCCCTCTATACGTCCCAATGAATGGAAGCCAATGTTGTGAACACATGCGCTTGTCAATTGATAATTACCCCTCAACACCCCTCCAGGCAATTAAATTGTTAACCGACTCCAAAGCATTGTTTTTACAGTTAGAGCACTGATTATTTACTGCCCTTATTAATGGCTTTGATTATTTTCTTTGTTAAAAAATCGGGGGTTGGTTTATGATCTTTCGTATGTATAAGCGTGTGTTGATTACGACACATTAAACAGTTAAACTCTTGTTAAATGTAATTTTACTTTATCTTATACCGGCCTCGTGTTAAAATGATTGAGAGTTAAAAAAGGAAATATGAAGTATGTTGAAACTTAAGTGTTATCATTTACTTGTGCTCTGTAGAAAATAAGATATCCACGAAGATTACCTCGATGTATGAAGACATATATCCCCCCGTTGTACATCATTTTTCACAGCTTTGGAGGTGTGTTGATAACTACACTTTATACGCTTGTTAAATTTTGATTTTATTTTTATAACATAAGCCATTTATTTAATTAATTAATTTCAAGTTCAAAAGGGGAAAAACATAGTCTATGAATACTTTGATATTGCAATATCGCTTGCCCTGTTAAATTTACATAATTTTCAACATGATTATCTTTAACTAAAAATAAATATGACATCTGTTAAACTTGCAACAATATCTCGTGCTTTGTTGAAATAAAATTATTTCCACAAAGAATAGTTAGAATACGGCGACGTATAATTTCAATATCACCGTTTGCTAAAAAAAATTAATAATAAACTCTGTTAATACTTTAATGCAACATTATCTCGTGCTTTGTTAAAATAAATAATTTCCTCCAGATTGCCGCGATATGGAAAGTCAAGATTAAAAAATAAAAACGCATTTGAATAGAATATCGTGTTCTGTAAAATTTCGACACTTTATCTCCGCGCCGATTTTCATAGCAAATTACCGCGATTTTCAAAAATTCAGAACACCGCTTGGTAAAATTTTTTGCTGCGTATAATACAACCGAACTGCGTTTTTTCCCCCAGTTTCAGGCTCAAAAAGGGGGGTGCGTATTTTACACCAATGCGTATTATATTCGGCCAAATACGGTAGTTTTTGCAGCAGTTTTCTTTTTCAGCACTTCTATGCCTTACATAAATCAGAGTTGCATGGAAGATGTTTATAGTGTGTTTCTTTGTACCAGTCAAGGTTTCAGATGCTGCAATTTCAGCTAAAAGATGACCAGGTTAATGTTTTTAAAGCAGGTTGAAGATTTTGGAGCAGGTTCAAGTTTTTGGGGCAGGTCTCATTTCCAAGTAACTATAAGCCCTATCGTGACCAAACTTGCATGGATGATACATCTTAGGATGCTAACTACCACCCTTCTTTAGATGCTGGATCTGACCTACATTTTCCAGATGAGTGACCAGGTTAAAGTTTATAGAACAGGTTCATTCTAAAGTAACTATAGACCCATGTTGACCAGACTTGCATGGATGATACATCTAAGGATGCACACTACCAGGCTAGCTTCGGATACTGGATCTGACCTACGTTTTCCAGATGGGTGACCAGGTTAAAGTTTTTGGAGCAGGATCATTCTAAAGTAACTATTTGCTGTACCTTGACCCGACTTGTATGGATGATACATCTAAGGATGCACACTACTGGACTTGCTTCAGATGCTTGATTTGATCTACATATTCCAGATGAGTGACCAGGTTAAAGTTTTTGGTTCAGGTCCATTACCAAGAATCTATAAGGCCTTTCTGAACCGAACTTGCAAGGATGATGCATCAAGGGATGAACATTCTCAAACTTGCTTCAGATGCTGGATTTCTGGATAATTGGCAAGTTAAAAGTTCTTAGATTAGTCCATTCCCAAGTAACTGTAAAGCCCTATCAGAACAAAATTGCATAAATGTTGCATCTAGGGATGCACACTACTAGGTTATTTGTTTAGTGTGGGACTTTGCCTTACACAAACATTCATTGAGTTGAGTTATGTAATCTTTGATTACCTATGTTTTATTGTAGAGCTGATATCTTTTAGATCTACAGTATTTTCTTTGAGATATATACTGTACATGCATTTTAACAGTTTTGGATTTTTCGCAGTTTTGGATTTCTTCTGTTGTCTTTGAGAGTCAAAGAAATGATGCAAGTCTTTAAGGTTTTCAATGACATGTCCTTGTTTTTCAGATTCACCAGATGCAGCTGCTCCATCTCCATCACTGGTGAAATGGGAAATGACTAGTGGACGGTCATCACTTTGTAACTCACCATTTTGCAGCCCATCTCTTCTCATCTTCAGTGGTGGCCTCTGGAGGAATGGTTGCAGTGCAGTCTTCGTGTCTTAGGCAGATAACTTCCTTTCCTTTGCTTCTCAGGTGTCTGCCTTTCTTGCATAGTTTATTCCCACACAACACTGCTACAACATTTTTCCTCTGAGTAACATTTTCACTTGTGGTACAAGTCACATTGGTGGCAGCTTGGAATGGGGTTTTTCCAATGGCACTGAAGGTGGCATTATTATATCTGGCATGTCCTTCCGCTCTGATGTGGTATCAGGAAGTCCACAATTTTCATTAAGTTCTTGAATGTTCTGCCTTATTTTTTTCAGGGCGGGGTCACAACAGGGGAACAATTTTTACATAGGTATATATAGAAAAACTCATTAACGAATATTCATCTTAAGCACAGCTTAGCCATGGGGCCACAACAGGGAATCAAATTTATAAATAGAAATATATAGGAAATATCTTTAAAAATCTTCTCAAGAACAGCAAACTAATGATCAGTCATAATTATATTGAATTATCCTCAGGTTGTGTAGGTTGAAGTGTGCTCAAATCATGACCACGGGGTGTAGAGTGGGGCAGAAGTGGGGGAAGCATCCTCAGGTAGTGTAGATTGAAGTTTGTTCAATTCATGATCTCCTGGGGTAGGATGGGACCACAAAAAATGATCAAAGTTTTAAGGAAGAGGGATCTAATTCAATTACCTCCTGAATTAATTATTTCACACTAACATCTCTATTTAGCATTAACTCATATCAGCTGGAGGCTCAAGTGAGCTCTTTCTGATCAAAATTTGTGCATTTGTCCATCTCCTTTATAATTTTTCACATTTTCACCTTCTTTTCTAGAACCACTGTGTCAATTTCAAACAAACTTTGTACAAAGCATGCTTTGGTAAAGGAAATTCATTCTGACGAAGGACCACATCTCTTCCCAGCAGAGATAATTAAGAAACAGTAAAAATTTGGTATGATCGTTCAAATGTTCTTAAGAACCACTAGGCTTGAAAATACGAAACCCAAGTAAAAGCTTCCTGACATAGAATAAATTAAGTTTTATACAATTCATGTCCCTGGGAGTATGGTGGGGCAAGTGCGGGCAATCAGAGTTTTACATGGGAATACATAGGGAAAATCTTATTTTGTATTAAGAACAGCAAAGGCATGATTAGTCATATTGACAATAAAGCACCCACAACAACTTTTTTAGATTCAAGTTTTTCAAAGCATGATGCCTGGGGGTAGGGTGGGGACACAGTAGAGGATGAAAGTATTACCTACAAATATATAGGAAAAATCTGTATAAATCTTCTCAAGCAAAGTCATGATTAGTCATGATTACATGGAAGCATCCTCGGGTGTGTAATTTCAAGTTTGTTAATCATGACTCTTGGGAAAAGGGTGGGGCTACAATATGATATCAAATTTTAAGTAGGAATATGTACAGGAAAAAGAATCTGTTGATGAAGAAGGGTTGTATTCCTCAGATGAGCATTGTGGCTCATGGGCCTCTTGTTTTATATTGTACTGATTATATGTAGCTATAGTGCATAAAAGGTCATGTTTACAATCAAGAAGCCTATCATGCAACTAAAGGAGTTTATATTAGGATTAGACAAAAGAGTAGATCTATTCAAATTTGTTCAAACTGTGGTCCCAGAATTTAGGATCAGGAAAGATTTGACACAGGAATACATATATATAGGAAAAATACTTATAAATCTTTTTTTTTCTAAAGAGCAGCTTGGCTTTGTTAAGGAAGTCTAATAAGCAAGAATCCTCAAGTAGTGCAGTTTCAAATTTATGCAAATCATGACCCCCATATAGGATAAGACCACATTAGGAGACAAGTTATGTACAAAGAAATATATTTTTTGGTCACCTGAGTCACTTTTCTGTGGATGTGTGTCATTTGTTGGTCATAAACTATAGGTCTTTTTTTAAGCTTTTTCTCTTGAACCTTTGAACCAATTTCAACTAATTTTGGAATAGCATTAATAAGTGAAGGGGTACACAAATTTTGAATTTCATGGTCACTCCCCCCCTCCCCCTGGGGACTGAGGGGTGGAGTTTAAACCATCAAAATTAGTGCAATCTTTCAAAATCTTCATCATAACTCCTGGACATCTAGCAGTCAAACTGTTGGCATGATTGTAATAAGCACTGAGCCCTTACCAAAACTTTGAAATTCATGAAGGAGGGTTAGGGATTCTGGAGTTAGGGCAGAGCTCTAATGATCATATAATGAAAATGGATAAATTCTTTTTAAAAACCTTCTCCTCTCTGTATAACTTATCAGGTAAACTAGGTGCATGGTTCTAATAAGCAAGGGCACCTCTACTTAAATTGTAAAATTTTTGGCCCCAGGCCCTGGGGATCTGGTGTTAGGGTGGGGCTTTATTGATGCTTGTGTGCCGGTATGTTTTTCTTTGAAAATCTTCTTTGCTCCTGGGTATTAAGCAGAAATCTAAGTATAAGTGGCTCCAAAGTCAGGGGTTCTGGTGTCAGGGTGAGGTTTTACTGGGTATTTAGCAAATGAATTTAGTGATTGATGAGCAAGAAACTTCTTTTAAAATTGTTAAATGTGGTGCTCCAAGGTCAATGGTTCTGGTGTTTTGGGGGCCTATTGAAGTATATATATATGCAGTATATCTTTGGAAATTTTCATTTCTGCACCTGGATATTGAGCTAACCAAAAATAAAAGCATAGTTATGATGAGCAAAGGTGCCTCTTTCAAAATGGTGAATTTCATGGCCCAATCTAGGTCAGAGTGTTTAGGTGTTTTTTAGATAAGATAGTGAAATGCATAAATTTTCTAAATATCTTCTTCTTTACCTAGTGGTATTAAGCAGACAAATGAATGGTATGGTTATGATGAGCAAGGATACCTCTTTTAAAGTTATGAAAATAATAGCCCCCTGAGTCAGGTCTTTTGGTGTTTATGTGGGGCTGTGTGGAATCTGAACATCGTTATTTCTTTGAAAATCTCCATCTATGCTCCTGGGCAACTAGGAGACAAAAAGAGTACAAAGTTGTGTTGAGCAAGGGCATTTTTAACAAATGTTTTAAATTTTGGAACACTTGGTCAAGTGTCCGGGTTTGGGGCAGGGCTTGAACTGGGCTTCATTAATTTATATTCTACTGAGAGAAATTATTCCCCTCTGCTATTCACCTATGATAATATATCATTGTAAATGATGTAATTGAAATTGAATGAGATACTTATACAAGAAATATGTCATAGAATATAATACAAAAAGTCATTTCTTAGTTTTTAGCTCAACTCAACGAAATTGGGGAACCTTATGTGATACCCTCAGCATTGGTGTTGGTGTCCCAGGTTAAAGTTTTTGGAGCAGAGTTCTTTTTAACTATGAAAATGAAGAACTGGAGAGGATCTTGATTGATTTTTCTTGGTAAGTTTGGAAGTTTATTCCTTCTGATACATTTATGCAGTAGATGTCCTGTCCTGTTCTATTTAAGAACATCCAAGAAAATTATAGAAGTTCAGGACTTTTCCTTACATATACTTCTTAGCTCACCTGACCTGAAAGCTCAAGTGAGCTTTTCCGATCACATTTTATCTGTAGTCTGTCTGTCTTCTGTCCGTAAACTTTTCACGTTTTCGACTTCTCTTCCAGAACCATTGGGCCAATTTCAACCAAACTTGCCATTAAGCATCCTAGGGTAAAGGGGATTCAAGTTTGATCAAATGAAGGGCCATGTCCTCTTTCAAGGGAAGATATTTCAGAAAAATTGAAAATGTGGTGGCATCTTTAAAATTCTTCTTCTCAAGAACCACTTGACCAAAAAAGTTCAAACTTATAGGTAACTTTCTTTACATAGTTTATATTCAAGTTTGTTCAAATGATAATCCCCGGGGGTAGAATGAATCTTTAAAAATAACCGGTATTCTTTTCAAGAACATTAAAGCCATTATCAGTCATATTGATTTGGAAGCATCCTCAGGTAGTGTAGATTCAAGTTTGTTCAAATGATAACCCCTGGGGTTAGGCCAGGGTTGGGCCACAATGGGGAATCAAATACTATTCAATACTGAACTGATTTGTGCTTTTTCTTAGCCAATGTGCTCAGATGAGCAATGTGGCCCATGGGTCTCTTGTATTTGGTATCAAAGGAAAGCAGACACAAATATATATATATATATATATATATATATATATATATATATATATATATATATATATATATATATATATATATATACATAAATGTAAATACAAGTTTGTTAATTTTTAATTGTTAATTTGTTAAACCCCAAAGCTGTTTTTATCGCTTTTTATGAATGTATGTAAACATGGAGACATGGAGTCCAACAGAAATGATTTTTGGTACTAAATTTATTTATTAAATTAACACAAATGACGCAATTAATACATCAAAATTACAGATAGTTTACAGTTCTTGTTTAGGATCTATTTCATCAATGCAAAAGGAGGACAATCTGTTATGCAGATTTGTGATGATTAGACTAGCGAAAGAGAAGGAACGGATGTTGTTTGGATTGCTAGTCTAATATTTTTTCATATGTTGGTTGTTTCCCCCGTATACACTAAACTTGCTATGGAAACTGACTTTAAACATTTTTTTAAATCTTTACTTATTTTGAAGTGGGTAGGGGCATTTCTATGCATGTCCGATTTCGCTGCCGTATATTAACTAAATTATGTAAAAATGATTTGAAGATAATAGACCATATTAAACAATGTTCACTGAAAAACAATCATGGAAGCCATAAAAAAATTAAGGATCACAATAGGTGAGAACAGCTGTGTACCAGGTGATTGGTCACTAATTACTGTATATACACAGCCATAGGCTATATTGGGTGTTTACATGTGTAGATGATGACACGCTAATTACCCATATGCATATTTAAGTTATTTTTTGATAAGTTTTTGAAAAAATATGTCCATTGAAATAAGAAAAAATACATATCCGAGTAACCGAGTACCATTTTTAGTATTCGATATTCGGACGTTCGATCGAGTACCCAGTTAACAGGGTACTCGTTGACATCCCTAATATATATATATATATATATATATATATATATATATATATATATATATATATATATATATATATATATATATAGAATATTATTATATTGAAATTTTTTCTTTTTTTCAGAATGAGACACAAGTGCCTTCCATTTGTGATACTAAAGGAAGCTGTTACAAATTTAGTTTGCCACAGTGCTGGCCTGACATATGAGGACAGGAATAAAAGATGTTTTAAAATAGAAATGTCTATAATTTAACTTATAAGTATGATTAACTAAGATCACAAACAACAAATCAGTTGCATTGCAAATGTACATATAGCATGTTTGCACTTACGAGGGAATATTCACTCCCTTTCAGTGAAAGTGTTGGCATGCAGGTCAATTATTGTCACCAAATCATCTGTCATATTCTCTGCATGCAGCTGTAGAATTTGATCAGAAAGATTAGCTACACTATTCTATGTATAAGTCTTATGTATAAATCTAAGACATTTTGGTTTCTAGTCACCAGTCTATATTTATAATCATTGTAGTGTAAAAAAATTCTGGTCCATAAGTCGATTGAGACTTTATGTTTTAGTGAAATGTTTTGTTTATTTATTGCCAACTCGCTGTAAATCAAATGTAGTTAAAAATTTCAGCACTTTCATTGTGTTTATGCAATTTATTGTTCTTCAATGTCAGTGACATGTATATCATTTTATGATGCACAATCAGTATTATTGTACTAGATTTATACTTGTCTCTTATTGATCTGCATTTTTTGGGGCTAATTAATGTTTAAATCCTACTGTGAACGTCTTCTTTTCACTTGGTGCCAGTGCTTGAAAGAAACCAGCCTGTCAATAATTTTTAAGAAGATGCTGAGATTAGCTTTACATCGTAAAACAAACTGAACACTGTATATAGTATAGCATATCATTGTTAAAGATGTATGTGTGCATGTGTGTTGTATTGTAGATATAATTCTTGTATTACATCATGTATATTTCATAGAAGATTTTGTTAGAAGCTCTGTTTTCATAATTTAATTATTTTCATGTACATAAAGACTTTGATCGTTTGTTTGTTGTTTAACGTCCCTCTTGAGAATTTTTCACTGATATGGAGACGCCACCACTTGCTGGTGGAGAGCTGCAAATTTTGACCTATACTCGGCACTCGGTGCCATTGAGCAGTGAGGGATCTTTTTTGTGTCAGCACCTACTGTATCACAGGACCTTGGTTTATACAGTCTCATCCGAAGGACTGGTATTCACGTCCCACAGTGGGATTCGAACCCATGACGTAAGGATCAACTCCTTACTTTGTGACTCTAGAGCGGACGCTCTTACTACTGTGCCACATGGGCAACTTTGTTCAAGGAAATTGGCTGAAGCATTTAACACAAAATTCTACTGATTTTAGGCCTATATAATCCATTCTAATGAAAGATCTAGAAGTGTACACAGAGAACATTGTACTGTAGATTTTATTATTATACCTCTACTGTTATTACTCTATATAAAATTAATACCATAAAACTGTCTATTTCCCTGAGAAGATACTATTTCCCTCATCTGAGGACTACTCCCTGAAAAATTGGAGCTACTCCCTGGGACTACTCCCTCATGAATATTAATAATTTTAACCAATTAAAATGAACAGTGGGCGGAGCATTCAAGGAATCTCGAGTCTGTGACGTAATGTTATTAGCAATGTAAGTATGACGTCAAAACATTTCGACATGCGATGTCAAAATCATACTGAAATATTCTAGCAAAATGAAGGCAACAATAATCCTTCGAAGTGTCAGTGAAATTATTTTATATTTTTTTTAATAATTCTATTTTCCTCGGTATTGATGCATTAGTTATCTTACAATATTTTTGATCATATGCAATTGTGATTATTTAAATACCTCTGTATTGTTTTTAAAAATGTCTGAGTCTCTAGTTTAATAAATCTCCCATGATTGTTTCTGTATAATAAAACAGTGATTGAATGGGTACTTGGGAAATATCAAATTTATGGTTCCCCTCGGTAGGAAACTGTTTCCCTCGGCGGCTTCTCTGCCTCGGGAAATAGTTTCCTCCCTTGGGGAACCATAAATTTGCTATTTCCCTCATACCCATTCCATAACTGTAAAATATTATGTTGTTTATTATTTGAAGAATTTGATGTAACCTCAGTCACATTACTACATGTTTGTTAGATTGTATTTTGCTTCATTAAGAACCTGACTGGGGGATTAAGGGATCTCTAAGTACAGTTGAACTTCAGTATTTTGAACACTGATATCTCAAATACCATGGATAATTCAAAGTGATTTGGAAGTTTCAGTCACTTTTTTGTATTTATATTTCATCATTGGTCTCTCAATTCCTCCAAGTTTCTTCTCAGTTCCGTTGAGTCCGAGGTATCAAAGTTTGACTGTAATTTCATTGTTTTAGGCCTTTATAATTCACTTGATGAATGATGTAGTAATGTACACAGAGAATACAAAACGGATTGAAAGCAATAAAGTTATGAACTTCTGTAGATTTTCTTGTGTTCATTTTCAGTTCAAATTAAAGAAAGAGGTGGTGATTTAAAAAAAGAAAAACTTCCTTTTTATACACACGAATTGTGATTATAAAGTGAAATATAAAATACAAATATACTGAGTGGATTGGACAACAGAGTAAGTCTATAATTGCACTATCCTTAAATGGTGAAAATTGAACTTTGAGAAATCAACACCTCAAGAATGATATGGGAGAATTTAAGAATAAAGATGTAGAAAGCACAGAAAACATGTTCAATGTATTTAGCTTTACAGAGTTTACCTGAACAGACATCTCTTTCATGTCATTATGATGGACTTGGGCACAACAGAAATGACATCTGTGTGCCTCTGCCACTTCAAGAAAAATAATTACCAAAGATATTCGATGTCAGTTGCACTGGTCAATGCATTACAAAGTAAAATAAACATAAATGCACCCTCAATAAAACAAAAAATACATGCACTACACCCAACAGTGACCAGGTTAAATTAGGTGTGGGTTCCAGTGCTGACATAGGAAACAAGAAAAATAATATGGCTTAATTAAGCCTGTTTAAGAGTTGTGTTCAGCTTTAACAAGACCAATTGTTGCATATAAAGAACCAGTTGTTTATTCAATGATATACTAGTATTTTGATATTTATACTCCAGACACTACTTATCTGATTGGGTTAGGTTTCCGCCTGACTGGGTTAGGTTCTAAATTGACTGTTTTAATTCTGCCTGAGTGGTTAGGTTCTAAACTGACTGTTTTATGACTCTGCCTGAGTGGGTTTGGTTTCTGCCTGACTGGGTTAGGTTCTAAACTGACTGTTTTATGATTCTGCCTGAGTGGTTAGGTTCTAAACTGACTGTTTTATGACTCTGCCTGAGTGGGTAAGGTTTCTGCCTGAGTGGTTAGGCTCTAAACTAACTGTATTATGACTCTGCCTGAGTGGATAAGGTTTCTGCCTGAGTGGTTAGGTTCTAAATTGACTGTTTTATGACTCTGTCTGATTTGGTTTGGTTTCTGCCTGAGTGGTTAGGTTCTAAACTGACTGTTTTATGATTCTGCCTGAGTGGTTAGGTTCTAAACTGACTGTTTTATGACTCTGCCTGAGTGGGTAAGGTTTCTGCCTGAGTGGTTAGGTTCTAAACTGACTGTTTTATGACTCTGCCTGAGTGGGTTTGGTTTCTGCCTGACTGGGTTAGGTTCTAAACTGACTGTTTTATGATTCTGCCTGAGTGGTTAGGTTCTAAACTGACTGTTTTATGACTCTGCCTGAGTGGGTAAGGTTTCTGCCTGAGTGGTTAGGCTCTAAACTAACTGTATTATGACTCTGCCTGAGTGGATAAGGTTTCTGCCTGAGTGGTTAGGTTCTAAATTGACTGTTTTATGACTCTGTCTGATTTGGTTTGGTTTCTGCCTGAGTGGTTAGGTTCTAAACTGACTGTTTTATGATTCTGCCTGAGTGGTTAGGTTCTAAACTGACTGTTTTATGACTCTGCCTGAGTGGGTAAGGTTTCTGCCTGAGTGGTTAGGTTCTAAACTGACTGTTTTATGACTCTGCCTGAGTGGGTTTGGTTTCTGCCTGAGTGGTTAGGTTCTAAACTGACTGTTTTATGATTCTGCCTGAGTGGTTAGGTTCTAAACTGACTGTTTTATGACTCTGCCTGAGTGGGTAAGGTTTCTGCCTGAGTGGTTAGGTTCTAAACTGACTGTTTTATGATTCTGCCTGACTGGGATAGGTTTCTGCCTGACTGGGTTAGGTTTTAAATTGACTGTTTTATGATTCTGCCTGAGTGGTTAGGTTCTAAACTGACTGTTTTATGACCCTGCCTGAGTGGGTTTGGTTTCTACCTGAGTGGTTAGGTTCTAAACTGACTGTTTTATGATTCTGCCTGACTGGGTTAGGTTTCTGCCTGACTGGGTTAGGTTCTAAACTGACTGTTTTATGATTCTGCCTGAGTGGTTAGGTTCTAAACTGACTGTTTTATGACTCTGTCTGAGTGGGTAAGGTTTCTGCCTGAGTGGTTAGGTTCTAAATTGACTGTTTTATGACTCTGCCTGAGTGGGTTTGGTTTCTGCCTGAGTGATTAGGTTCTAAACTGACTGTTTTATGATTCTGCCTGAGTGGTTAGGTTCTAAACTGACTGTTTTATGAACTGCCTGAGTGGGTTTGGTTTCTGCCTAACTGGGTTAAGTTCTAAACTGACTGTTTAGTGATTCTGCCTGAGTGGTTAGGTTCTAAACTGACTGTTTTATGACTCTGCCTGAGTGGGTAAGGTTTCTGCCTGAGTGGTTAGGCTCTAAACTAACTGTATTATGACTCTGCCTGAGTGGATAAGGTTTCTGCCTGAGTGGTTAGGTTCTAAATTGACTGTTTTATGACTCTGTCTGATTTGGTTTGGTTTCTGCCTGAGTGGTTAGGTTCTAAACTGACTGTTTTATGATTCTGCCTGAGTGGTTAGGTTCTAAACTGACTGTTTTATGACTCTGCCTGAGTGGGTAAGGTTTCTGCCTGAGTGGTTAGGTTCTAAACTGACTGTTTTATGACTCTGCCTGAGTGGGTTTGGTTTCTGCCTGACTGGGTTAGGTTCTAAATTGACTGTTTTATGACTCTGTCTGATTTGGTTTGGTTTCTGCCTGAGTGGTTAGGTTCTAAACTGACTGTTTTATGATTCTGCCTGAGTGGTTAGGTTCTAAACTGACTGTTTTATGACTCTGTCTGAGTGGGTAAGGTTTCTGCCTGAGTGGTTAGGTTCTAAACTGACTGTTTTATGACTCTGCCTGAGTGGGTTTGGTTTCTGCCTGAGTGGTTAGGTTCTAAACTGACTGTTTTATGATTCTGCCTGAGTGGTTAGGTTCTAAACTGACTGTTTTATGACTCTGCCTGAGTGGGTAAGGTTTCTGCCTGAGTGGTTAGGTTCTAAACTGACTGTTTTATGATTCTGCCTGACTGGGATAGGTTTCTGCCTGACTGGGTTAGGTTTTAAATTGACTGTTTTATGATTCTGCCTGAGTGGTTAGGTTCTAAACTGACTGTTTTATGACCCTGCCTGAGTGGGTAAGGTTTCTACCTGAGTGGTTAGGTTCTAAACTGACTGTTTTATGATTCTGCCTGACTGGGTTAGGTTTCTGCCTGACTGGGTTAGGTTCTAAACTGACTGTTTTATGATTCTGCCTGAGTGGTTAGGTTCTAAACTGACTGTTTTATGACTCTGTCTGAGTGGGTAAGGTTTCTGCCTGAGTGGTTAGGTTCTAAATTGACTGTTTTATGACTCTGCCTGAGTGGGTTTGGTTTCAGCCTGAGTGATTAGGTTCTAAACTGACTGTTTTATGATTCTGCCTGAGTGGTTAGGTTCTAAACTGACTGTTTTATGACTCTGCCTGAGTGGGTAAGGTTTCTGCCTGAGTGGTTAGGTTCTAAACTGACTGTTTTATGATTCTGCCTGACTGGGATAGGTTTCTGCCTGACTGGGTTAGGTTCTAAATTGACTGTTTTATGATTCTGCCTGAGTGGTTAGGTTCTAAACTGACTGTTTTATGACCCTGCCTGAGTGGGTAAGGTTTCTACCTGAGTGGTTAGGTTCTAAACTGACTGTTTTATGATTCTGCCTGACTGGGTTAGGTTTCTGCCTGACTGGGTTAGGTTCTAAACTGACTGTTTTATGATTCTGCCTGAGTGGTTAGGTTCTAAACTGACTTATTTATGACTCTGCCTGAGTGGGTTTGATTTCTGCCTGACTGGGTTAGGTTCTAAATTGACTGTTTTATGATTCTGCCTGAGTGGTTAGGTTCTAAACTGACTGTTTTATGATTCTGCCTGAGTGGTTAGGTTCTAAACTGACTGTTGTATGACTCTGCCTGAGTGGGTTTGGTTTCTGCCTGACTGGGTTAGGTTCTAAGCTGACTGTTTTATGATTCTGCCTGAGTGGTTAGGTTCTAAACTGACTGTTGTATGACTCTGCCTGAGTGGGTTTGGTTTCTGCCTGACTGAGTTAGGTTTTAAACTGACTGTTTTATAAGTCTGCCTGAGTGGGTTAGGTTTCTGCCTGACTGGGTTAGGTTCTAAACTGACAGTTCTATGTTCCTGCCTAGGTTCTTAACTGACTGTTTATGATTCTGCCTTACTGGGTTAGGTTTTTCACCGACTTGTTCATGTTTCTGCCTGACTGGGTTACATTCTAAACTGACTATTTGCAGTTCCTGCATGAGTGGATTAGGTTTCTAATTTGCCTTATTCATAATTTCTGCCCGACTTGGTAAGGTTTCAAACTGAATGTTTTAGGTTCAGTTTTAGGTTTTAAAAGTTACTTGATAATGTTTCTACCTGAGCGGATTATGTTCTTAGCAAATGGTTTTTATTCCTTCCAGACTGGATAAGGATTTAACCAACCTGGGATAGCTATGAAAGTGACCGTTTATGTTCTGCTTAACCGTTACTTTCACTTATATTTTATGTTTATTTCATGTGTAAATCAGATGTACTAGTATTTTTGTTCCGTTTCCTTAATAAATACATGTACAGGGTCGTAGTATATCACGGGGCGGGTAGGGGACACATCCTTTACTGTTTAAAATGTTCGTTGAAAAGCTGCCTAGCCCACCACTTTTTTTTGGCAGTATAGGCAAACTAGGCAAATGTGTATGAATAAGTATAAACATTATTTTGCTGTGAAAGAAGTCTTAACCTTAACCCCCCCCCCCCCCCCACACACACACACACAACAAAAGATTTTCGAGTTTGCCCCCCCCCCTTCTTTTTTTCTTTTGTTGGTTTGTCAAAGTTATTTTAAGCAAGTTGCCTTTGTTTTCTTCCCCTCCTCCCCTCGTTTTTTTTTCAAAGATGATACAACGTGCCAGAAAGAAACAAATGGACTCCCTTATATACCTGCTTGAAATTGATAAGCAAGTTCTAAACTGTCTTTGTTTAGTTTTCGGGGGTGAGATTGGGGTTATTGTTATTTTTTAATTTTTAGATTCCTTTGTTGATTGGTGGATGCGGACAGG